TATATATATTACATATACAGTTAAGGTTTCTATTTTTGTAATCTATTTGATTATTTGCGGTCCCATTGCTTAGCAGTAAAAACTGAATTTGGATACTAATACAGTATACATGTTTCTATATTTATTTATTAATTTTATTGTATGTATGAATGTACTGTAGTTTAAGGAATTACACTTTAAGGTTGGGTTCACACTAGAGCCCTAGTATCCGGATCTATCGGTAGCGCTAACCGCATTTTAGTTAATATTCATGATATTCGGTGAGGCGTAACACCTAATACATTATGCATGATGTTGTATGGCGTGATAACGTGAAAGAGACAACCGTGTGGACCATGCACGCATTCATTCATTAGGACAATGTGCTACCATAGAGAAAATAGAACATAGAACATGTTCTATTTTCTCTATGGTGCTACCAAATTCACCACGTGAAGGACCCCGCAAGAAATGAGGCTTCGAACCAAATAATTCTAATCAAGTTCGATACAAAATATTAGAAATATTCTTTTTACATGTTGTTTAATAGTAAATAAAACTATAACCATAGGAGTAGTTAAGTTTGGTTGTCTATGTTTCTACTTTTGTTTATCACGATTTACAACGACTCAAATACAATAATAGGAAACAGACATTGATGAGAAAAGAACAAATTTATTGAAAATTAACGAAATAAATTTATTAACTTTATTAAAAGTTTATTTATTAAACCAACAAGGTCGGGGGAAGCTTAAGCAAACAAATCACTAAAACTTTTTAAAGTCAGCTGCGCTACCCCCTCATAGGCCTACAATATACAATTCGATAAAAAGACAAAATTTACAATCACAAAAGACAGAAAAAAAACCCAATTTTAACATCAAAAGTGAAATATTTAAAAAAATAAATAAAATAAAGATACATAGCTAAAGCTGAAAAAAAAAAACAACAAAAAACAAAAAACAATAAAAAAAAAAAAAAAAGAAAACAAAAATTTCATAATAAAACAGTTACATAGTGTGATAACATATAACAACACCTGCATTAGTGGTGCCGATAATGCAGTAGCGGTGCCCATCTAAGGAATAATGTATAACATATAACAACATCGCAGTAGCGATGCCCATCTAAGGATTTAATATATAAAATATAACAACACCTGTAGTAGCGGTACCCATAATTCAGTAGCGATGCCCATCTAAGGATTAATAAAATATAACAACACCTAGCAGTAGCGGTGCCCATAATTCAGTAGACGGTGCCCATCTAAGGATTAATGTATAACATATAACAACACCTGCAGTAGTGGTGCCCATAATTCAGTAGCGGTGCCCATCTAAGAATTAATGTATAACATATAACAACACCTGCAGTAGTGGTGCCCATAATGCAGTAGCGGTGCCCATCTAAGGATTAATATATAAAATATAACAACACGTGCAGTAGCGGTGTCCATAATGCAGTAGCGTGCCCATCTAAGGATTAATATATAAAAGAATAGTATTAAGTATTTCTTTTTTGTACGGTACTTACACAAGCGGAAAAAGTTCGTGTAGGACAGCTAGCAGTGTCTGTTCACTGGAACTTGTACATTCTACAGGACTCTACTCTGGTTAAATGAATACTGCAGTAGTGTCCCCCATATAACCCTTACCCTTTTTGAGGTATGTAAATCAGTAATATTGAACACCATTGGTGCAAAATCGTTAATAGTTTTCACTGATTAAAACAACATTTAGGGACTGGAATGCAGCCTACACCACCCATTAAAAGTTTGAAAAATAAAATTCCATGTGGTGTCCCAGACCACCCAAAACAGCTCCACTCCCAAAAACTCATAGAGACTTAGTTAACACTTGATTTAAATATTATAAGGCCCCATAAAAATAATTATTAGTTTATCACCTAGTTAATCAGCCCCTCCCCCATCACTTTTGGGGGAAATTATGATTTTTTTTTCAATCAACATATATCTTTATTTCAAACGGTCGTTTCTCCATCTTGTTTTTCACTTGAAAAGCTCAGATTTCTTGCATGGCACAAAAAAAAAAAAAAAAACCCATATTTTTTAAATATAAATTTGATTCCATTCTTATGACTTTTTATATATGTGTCCCTTACCACTGATTTACTTGTGAACATCGGTAAAATGAGGGTAGGGTTCAATAATATTGCCAGGGCCTATATGTATATTTCTGAGGCATATATGAAATATCGCTGATTCTTAAATCTCTAGGCTCTGACAGCCGATGCCATGGCAGGAGAATACAAACTTAATGCTCCAGCTAGAGGAGCACCACCTGAGTGACGTCATACAAATAAGCACAGCAAAAATTATTGGACTGACCAATCAGAACACTACGCGTTTGTAAAACATGTGTTTTCCCACAAAATGCATGTAGTGCGTAGTGGTGTGACCTTCGCAACCATATTCAAGGGGCAGAGCGAGGTCCATGTTACTACAGTAGTTTTAAACATTGTTTATGAACTATAGAATCTGGATATCCAGTTTTACCCTAAATGTAACAAAAAGGGCTAAGTTTGGGGAGCAAACAAAAATCGCCATTATTCACAACTAGATTAGTACCCCATTAGAAATAAATCTGGGAACTTTTATGGGTTACAGTATTTCACTAGAAATAAAATCCCATCCAATCCAAGTAGACATATAAATTGTTACAGAAAAATAATAAAATAACCTCATTGTGTATTTGAAGCCCGCCCTCAAGGCTACGTCGGCGGTTGTGTGTGCGTGTGCAGTGAAGCGATTATATTTTGTTTATTGATTGCACGTTCATTTCAGAGAAGCGAATGTAAAAGGCATGTTTTTCGATTTCGTTGAAAGTATAAACGTACTATGGATTAAGTAAAGCCTGTCAGTGTTTTACAGCACTCCTTCGTGAACGAATATCTCCGAGCCTTCTACAGAAATCCGAGGCCTAGTCTAGGCCTTAGCTCACTAAGGATGAATCTAAAACACCTCTTTCAAGATTTCAACCCAGGGTGAGTTGCTAGAGTCTAGAGAGATCAAGCTGTCGGCGTGCTGTATAATTTTTTAGTGCTAGGCCTAGGCCTAGGCCTATTTACGAATACTAGGCCTATACTACTAGTCTGCACAGTATGGTAACAGGCCTATGTGTTTCAAATTGGTTTTCATTTTTGTTAAATATATAGGAAATAATTATAGTAATCTCCCATTCGTTTTTAGCTGAATATTGATTTTAAATTAAAATAAATTCGTCTATCTATAAATAAGGGCCTAGGCCTAGCTAGGCCTAGGGCCTTAGGACTAGATTGGCAATTTGTCTAGGCCTAGGACAGGTAGTTAAGGCTATGCCTAGGCCTGTTGTACAGTAGTGGTTTCTGGACACAACAGCAATAAACCAAAATGGTAATGCTAAACAATTTATGTCATAAAAGTCAATGTCTCGAAAGTGTACTACGATGAAATACGGTAAAAATGAGGCTAAATAACAGCAGCAGCAATGATATCAATAATAATAATAATAATAATAATAATAATGTCAATTATAATGATAATTATAACAATAATAATAATAATAATCATAATAGTAATAATAATAATACAAATCAATAATAAAAAGATTGGGCAGAAACAATATAAAAGCAGTATAAACATTCAAACAAATAAAACTTTCAAATGCAGACAGAATGAGACTAAACAATTCAGGGGCGGATCCAGTAGGGGGACACGTAACCCCTCCCCCCCACTGTTTTGTCACTAAATCTGAAAAATTTCAATGCAAATCAATATTTATGTGCTACTTGCCTATTCTGAAAAGTCTGTTGTGTGGCTTCCCTCCCCATTTAAAAAATTCTGGAGCCACCCCTGCAAAATAAGTGCTCATGGCAATACAGTATATGATTTGCCTATCGGGACGATTTCAAAACGATTCAGAAAATTATAAAAATTTTGCCCGGTGGTGCTTGCTAGTCTTGGCATTGATTTCGCTCCTTTTCCATTTTGGTCAGCCGTTTTGATACTTGTCAAATGTTGCCGTTTTGGTACTTGTCATTGCCGTTTTGGTTCATTGCCATTATTGTCATTGCCGTTTTGGTTCTTTGCCATTTTGACACTGCTACCACATTAATGTAGTTGTAGGCCTACCGTAGACTGTGGTATTGATAGGCCTAGCGTAAATTTTTGGCTTTGAATATTATCGATTGGGGGAGCAAACTTTTTTCTTGGAATAGCGTGCATCCCCTAGATATATACCATTTGACACATGTCAAAGAAAATACTGTATGAATTTAAATACTGTACCATTAAATTCCTTTATTAAATGAATGGAGAAACAGCAACAAATTTGGAACCGATAAATTTGGCATATACAGAAAACATTAAAAAAGACAAAATAATGAAGTATAAATTTGAGATGGTTAGCGGTATGCCAAGAGAGAATAATGGGACCGACACCAAAGTAAATTATCTCTAAACTGCTAATCTGAAAAAAAAGAAACAACAAAAAACAAGAATTAAAAAAGATTTTTAAAAAATATTTTATAATACTTTTTTTTATAATAAATTCAGAAATTTGTCTATAAAAAAAAATGAAAAGATAAGCTGCAAATTGCAATAAGGCAAAAGATAACAGATATGATATTTTTCATACTAATAGGAATTCTAATAACTTAACAATAACAAATAAAAACAGCTGAATCACTAACCTGTTTCTATTTTTATATCACAACATATACAAAATACAGTACAAATTAAATGCGTACAGTAGCACCATCTTTAAAGTTTAAACTAAACAAAGTTATTGAGACACAAGCTTTCGGTAGCCTGAGCTAGCTTCCTTAGGCGACAAAATATGTTTAAACTCATTGATAATATTATTACAGTTATATTTGAAAAGTTGACTTTGTCTAACTCGAATAATATCCAAGTTGATCTTATTTTACATGCTAAAAAATTGTTGAGTTTACCATTTATTAACGATCGGTAGGTCAAATTTTTTTGGAAGTCGAACAACTTTTTAAATGCTATTTTAGATTCAACTTGGGCAAGTTCAACTGTATGTATAAAATACAATGCCCAGGTATACAAATATTAATTTATCATACTATAGACCTACAGTTGTCACCTTACAAATAAATTAGTGACGTAAATCAAAAAAACTGGAAATTCCCAACTTGACAGAAGTGTGCGTAAACACTAACAACAAGCAAGCAGAATGCCTGTACAGTAATCCACTTTACTCCTTCACACATACATAAATATTTAGATGTTACTTTATTTATCTAAAGCCAGTTGATCTGTAATTACATATGTAATGACACCAGATAAAATTCTTTGAAATTAATGTATTGAGTATGGCAATGTTTAACCCTTTCACTGCTGCAGTTAAATACACCTCCCTGTGCTGGGCCTTTCTTTGAGGTATAAAAGGTGTTTTTGATATAAATGCCAAAATAATATTAAAAGAGGTTATTTTGAAATTCTTTTTAGATGTGAAAAGAGGTGGGCCTATGGGGTGGAAATTGAAATTTGGTATTTTCATACCATGTTGGATTTTCCTTTTTTCATAAATTTTGTGAAAAAATCTACTTTTTCTCCAAAAAATTATTAAGGAATGCTGTTTTTGTTTTTCACTGGTTAGTGATGAAGATACATATACTGTAAAATGAATAAAAACATACATACAGTAGTTTGAATTATTTTCATCATTTTAGAATCGTGAAAAAACATGAATTTTTAAAAACATCACTGTAACATTTTTTTGTAACAATTAGTCATTTATATCCCATATAATTCAGTTTGTAAAATTTCAACAACAATGATTGTTTTTCATGAAATGAAACTGCTTGACTGCCAAAAAATCAGCTGCATCATCGTCAGATTCACCGCTACTGTAGAATCTATACTGTAGCTTGGGCTCCAAGTCGAGCAAATCATCGGTCTTGTCCATGGAATTCCTGTTGACATGACCATAGTCACTAAAGCCATAACGTTTTAGATATTTTACAGCCTATACCACTGGTAAACTTGATTTTCCACGTGGAAATAATCGCTAGTTCATAGAAAAAAAAAAACTACTGTTTTTAAAAGATTATTTTCAAATACCCTGTACTACCTGGGACACACAATTCACCAACATTTTTTTCTACCCGGTACTACCAGGTATGCGCAGTGAAAGGAATAAAACCATGTGTTTTTTCTTCAAATTCACTTAAGTCAGGGGTCCCAAGTCTCCCGAAACTCGCGGGAGGGTTCACGGAAATTGGGGGTGCCTCCTGCGCCCCCACAAGCAAGCAAGAATCTTCCGGAAATTAACCCATCTCCGCGCAAATTCATAATTTTGCATGTTTCTTGTACTGCATGCTTTTTATCAATTTGCTCACGAAAGTCAGTGCCGATGAATGTCACTACAGTATGTGCCAAAAAATAAAATAAAATGCATTAAGAAAGCTCATTACCCAGATCAGTGGCAGATTCAAGGGAGGAGGCAGCAGGCCCAGACCCCCCTAAATTTTTCAAAATTATAAAAAATTTGGGGTAAAAAAGAAATTTATATTCAAATTGAAGCCTGAGAGAGGGCAGTTTTCAGACATCTAGGGTTGCTATAATCATAAATTTTCTTACCTCAGCTTCAACCATGTTGGGGCTGAAGGAAATTACTTCTTCCAAATTGGGACCCCTGCTTAAGTTAATTAAATGTACAGTTTAAATTAAACATCATTCATAATTTGCCTGGAATTAAAATTATGTAAATTGTAATTTGTTTTCAATTATTATGCTTATTATAATTTTTGAAGCATATTTCTTTTGTTTGAGGTAAATATTTCTTTTGTATTAAGGTTTCTTTTCTTGTTTGGGCTTTTGTGTCTACCATATGTCATTTAATTAACAGATTTTTTCAATTACTGTTAGTACTAGATTTATCTTTTTATTATAAATCATATACTGTAGTACTGTAGTACCATGAGTATGTATTTTCAGTATTTAGATAGTTGAATTTAATAAGTATGCCTAAACAGTATCAGACATTTTGTAGTATAAAACTGATATTTTAAACTGTAGTTAACAGTATATTGTTTCTTTTTTATTTCCCACCAAAATTATTATTTACGTCCAAACCAAAATTATTGTTTGTTGGACCATATCTTAATTATAATTTTACAGTTCTTATATTAACTATAGCCTGTACATTATATGAAGAACGCACACATAAAATTATATTAAATTTAATATATCAAAATTATAAAATAAATTCTGTTTTGTTCCACTACAGAAATTTCTTGATCTATTCATCTCTATTGCTGTTTTCCATATTGTTTGCCCTGAAAGCAGATAGCTACATCAACTGTAGCTGGTGGCTTGTATTCCTTCCATTATGGATTTGGAAGCTCCTAGTCTTTTCCGGTGCCATTATTGGTGGTTTTGTGTGGTGGAAACATCCGGAATATCGGTAAGTATACAGTAATTAAAATTAATATGTTCATGACAAAAAAATATTTGAAATTTGCTTGCTTATTTTACAGTTTAAACATTTACAGGTAAGTTATTAGGCCCAATAAAAAATTATTAGTTTATCACCCCCGTGCACATGTCTTTTTTGGTACTGGAAAAAAAAATTGTTTGAAAAAATTTTTTTTACAATTTTATTTATTAATTTTTTCCATTTATTTTATTAAGTTAGTAAATATTGTTTGCATTATCAAAAATTATGTTTTACTTTGAATATCAATGCACCAGCAAACAACCCAAAGGTGATATTTGGCTTTAGCAAAATAAAAAATAAAAAGAAAAAGCCTCCCTCCCTCATCACTTTTCCTGCCCAGATAGGGTGATAAACTAAATAATATTTTTTATAGGGCCTTAACTTGAGCATAGAAATTAGTGATTTGAAAAAAAATTGTGTACCCTGGTTTTTATATTGGATGGTAGGGAAAAATAATGAAACACTTTCAGTCACTGGAAGTACATTTTATTGTATCATCTTACCTTTTATTTACTTGTTTATTTGCTCCTTATAAATCAACCTATTATTACAGTGTAATTATTCTATCATTTTTGCTGTAAAATTATAGGTAAACATTTTTTAAATACACTATCATTTTTATAATACCGTGGCTCCCCAACCCTCAAAATTAATTATGCAATGTATTTTTATAAAATATCATCAATCAGTTTTATAAAATAAGACCAGATTTACTTACAGTAATACAGGTAATGCACAAAAAAAGTTCTTTAGCAAAAATGTGTACCCTGATTTTTATATTGGATAATGGAAAAAAAATAATGAAATACTTCCAGTTCTGAAAGTGTTTATAACTCTCTTAAACTGTAAAAAAGAATTAAGAGTTATTCCATTATCCTATGTTTTGGAATTCTAAAAACAATACAACTTCATGGAATTATGCAGAAATCCAGATTCATGGCAAAACACAACTTAAGATAAGTGATGGGATCGCAAGTGTCAAGGAAAAGCCTTGACAGAAATCAGTTAATAGTTTAATAACATTATAGCGAAAATCTGGAAATTCCCAACTCAACAGTCATTTTTGAAGCATGCTGTGCGGTAGTCTAGCTGTGTGGTTAATCCAGCCTCTGTTGGATTGTAGTAACTTCCCTTTATTGCTTTATGTGGGAGTGAATTGTTTTTCATCCTTAACACAGATTAACCAGGGGAGAATTTTTGGGTGTGGGGGAGATCTTGCGACACATCTTTTATCACAAAAGGATGTTATTAGAGATAATTGAACGGAAACTCAATTCCATAGAACCGTTGATTCAATTCTAAAGAATGTATTACGTAGTGTGATATCAGAAGACCGGTTCAATGCACTTATCCTCCTACAGTATACATTCACAGGGAAATCAACCTTGATTATGACAAAATTATTGACATGTATGCCTCCAGATATCCCCTAAGAATGCTTTTCATAAATCCACTCTCTGAGTGAAATGTAGTACCGATATCTAAAAACTAGTAAAAATCTAACTGATCTTTCATACTATATTTATTATATATGTATAATAACATGTTGGTCTTATTTAGCGCATATCGCCCATGTGCTGGCTATATGCACTTCACATATCAACTTGCCTGGTGTGTGACAGAGTAAAAGTAGGCATATCGCTTCTAAATAATAGATGCCTTTCTTTGTTGTAAAAGATGCCCTGTAAGAGCTTTTAAGGGCGTACCATTTCAAAAAATCTTCCTATTTTGGGAGGGGCACCCCTCCCAAATCCACCCCCCTCAGTGCTTCGCACCTTGGCTGGTCGTCCATCTTTACTTTGGCGCCCCCTCCCCTTTTGCTAAATCCTGTATCCGCCCCTGTTAAGTATTAAAATACTTTTTTGTCACATCTTTCTGAATACTTTATATGGAAGTACAGTGATGTAACTTTGGAAAACTAAGGTTGGGTATTAATATACAATATAAGAAGGGTGGGGTGATAATAATATCGAAATATAATGAGAGTGTATTTGAAGGATGGTTTAAGGGGGTTAATTAAGAGTGGGTGGAGAGCCATGAAAAACTTCAAGGCTGGGTAGTCCTGCCCACCATAACAACATCCTAGGAAGTATCAGATAATGATAATATTTTTTTTTATTATGGTATAAAACCTTACATCAATCCAAAGTCAAAGCTGTGAAAATGTGAAAATGGTACAAGAAGAGTCACAGGAACCATTACCTAGTACAGTACATTTATAGTACTGTAAATTATTAAATATTATTTCTTGTAAATAAACTTTATAAGAAGAAACATTTCAAAACCTGTATATGTGTTGTATTATCCCTGTAAAAGCAAAAAATAAATAAAATAAATAAATACTGTATATAAAATAGAATAAAATAAATAAACAAATTGTATGTGTTTTTGAGGATGATGATGCATGTACTATATATATTTCTATGCACGATTGTTTTTGTGAATGTATACATAATCATATACGTGTACTGTAAGTATGTGCATATGCACATATGTATAAGTACGTATATAGGATATTAATTAATTTTGAATGTTTACATTTTTGACATTATGTCCCCTAAATAAGAAAATATTAAATTATTTAGAAAATAAAAGTTGTAATATCTAGTCAGCCACAGCGGACTGATCCCATTTTCAGTGAACTTGAATTTTAACTTTTCGTGTTCTTATTATGCTTATGTCTTTGATGACAAAAAAAAAAAAATTAAATAAAAGAAATAAAGGTGGGTGAAATCCCCACAAAAGGGGGGGGGGGGGGAAAACATTTCAAATCCTAGTTTAGGCCTACAAGTAGTAGCATAAGGCCCTATAAAAAATATTATTAGTTTATCACCCTAAACCCTATTTGGGCAGGAAAAGTGATGAGGGAGGGAGGCTTTTTTTTAATTTTTTATTTTGCTATTGCCAAATATCACCCTTGGCTAGTTTGCTGGTACAGTAATATTCAAAGTAGAACATGATTTTGATAATGCAAACAATATCTACTAACTATTTAATAAAATTAATGAAAAGAATCAATAAATAAAATTAACAATTTTTTTTTTTCCATTATCGTAGAATACATGCGCGCGGGGGTGATAAACTAATAATTTTTTTTATTGGGCATAATCAACAGTCTATTAATTTACACTTTGTCAAAATCAATATTTCTAACTGGTACAGTATTTGTTTTGCTTAAAAATAAATTTAAAATCGTGTGTGTGTGTGTGTGTGTGAGAATTGTGCAAGTTACTTTATTAAAAATGATACTGTATAATAGGAAAATTATCTGTTAATATTATCATTGTTATTGTCTGTTATTCTTTGAGAATACAATTTTACATACAGTACAGTATTCTTAATAACTAAAATAACTCCAACCTGTTAGTGGAGGTTCTTATCTGTGTTGGTTGAGAATTAAATAAATAAAAAATAAAATAAAATAACAGTACAGTAATTGATTAAAACATTGATTGAACATTACTTTCATAATCATCAGCCAAGATTAACTATTAATAATAAAAAAAAGCTATCAATGCAGGTTCCAATTAGGCATTTTCAACTTCAATTTGGACTTTAAACTAGGGACCTGGAAGTAGAACCATCTTCTATTGTGCTTCTAAACAATAACTCAGACATTTGGAAATTCCCACCCTTGCTGTCTTTTGAAAAAAAAAAAAAAAAACTCAGCTAGCCAAACACTTTTAAGTCTACACTACAGCTGTATGTACTTTTTGTGCAGCACAATTAAATAAAATGCTTTTGCCCTTTTTATTAAATATTTTATTTACGATACATATATTTGTACAATATTAAATAGTAGGGAAATACTGTATGGATAATAATGGTCCCTTTTATAAGAGACTTTTTTTTAAATAGTGATAGCGATGTTTTGAAAAATTATAATGACTAAATGATAAAGTATCCCTCAAATTAAAGTATGCTTTAAATTAAAGGCCACTTTTCTGTGGTCTTATAATTAACATGTTCCCCCCTTTTATCTTTATTATTCTAAACCAAAACTGCTAACGAACATGGAAGCCCTGGTCTCAAAGCGGTCCTTAATTGGAGGGAGAAATGTAATATTGAATTGATTAATTTCAGCATTACAGTATATAACCATCTTCTATAGACGAATCCAAGTACAGTAGTAATAATTGCAGAGAACTAAGTGTTTTTTAAGAGTTCCTTGATATATTTTTTTTTTAATTGAGTGATTGACGTATTGGTATTTATTTCATTTTTATTTAAATCAGAATAATACAAGACAGTTGTTCATTGGGGCCACAGAAAAGTGGTCCTTATTTGGAGGTGGTCTTTAATTAGAGGGAGACCTGTATTTGTTTGCTGCTGGAAATCACATATTGATTGACAGATAAGCATTCATCCAGGGCAGCTGATTATTATCAAGAGTGCTTGGGCCGAATCTGGGAATTCCCAGTTAGCGGTAAACTTTTTAAAATCCTATTGGCTAATTTATTCACCTGCCAGCCATCCATTATATATAACTTATGTAGTATATAATTGATGTAAGGAGTGGGATCACAATCTCATGCCTGGTAGATCATTTTTGATAATACGGTAATAGTAATTTTCAACAATTCACTGAAATTATGATTATTATTAAAGAGAAAAATGAATTACCAAGCATTGCAAGGTTTTTCTAGAAATCATATTTCAAAGTATTACATCGATGATAATTATCACTAAACAAAGAAGTTTAGAGAGGTGCTGATATTTCTCTTTTTGTAATATCAAGTATAGATTTTTTTAAAACATGCCATATTTTTTTTATAGAGGACCCTCTTAAGTAAATGAGGATGATTTATAAACTAAGATGATGTGAAGATGTTTTTTTGTCATGGAAAATTATCCTGGGTTTAAATCACTGGATTCGAACCCAGAACCCTGGGATTGGAAGGCAGTCATCCTAACAACCAAGCTATTGTACATGTCCACTCCTATGTTGAACTTATTTTCTTATTTTTACCAATATTTTAAATTTTATAAAAGTCAAAAAAGTATGCTCTTTGTATTAAAAAGCTAAGCTTATTTAGTGGTCATTCACAATTTGATTAACAATTTCACAAGTGTTCATAAACAGTACCTAATTTGTACACTTTTTTTGCATGAAATTTTTTTATGCATGAAAAATGTTGATTACAGTATATTAGTTGAATGAGAATGGTATTTTTATGTATACAGTTTCAGAAAGAAATGGGATACTGAAAAAAATTACTTTTTTTGTTAAAATGTTGATAATTGTGAATGTCCCCTTTTTTAAATATTAGTTTCTTTATATTAGAACTTTTTCTTGTTAAAATGATGATACTGTAGGCCTACCTTTATTTTCATTCTTGGATTGTACAGTATATACTGTATTATGATTCCTACATCAGGAAATTAAATTTAATAAACACTTAATTGAATTACTGTACATGTATACATTCATCGATAGAGGCAGAGCGAAACTGTTGCAATGTAATGGCGCTTTCTGACAAATGGCATAGTTTAAAATAATTATTAAAGTAAATTTGTGCTCGAAACAAACGGTATAATTATATACAGCAACGTTATTAAAAATTAATGGGAAAGAATTACTGTATATCATACTCTTTCATTGCTTCCTATATTGCTGTGTATTGCATTTGTTATGTTTACACTTGTACATAGTCAAAGCAATTACCCAACTTTAATGCAACTTTTTATTTGTAGTAGAATATACATTCTCATCCCATATCTTAATATTCTGTTTGAGGATACATGCCTTTGCAGTTGTCAAACTTGGTAGTTTTACCACGTTAAGTAACTAGGAAGATCTATTTATTCACTACCAAACACTACCTTCTGTATTAATGAGGTACTGTAGTAAACGTTCTAAACTCGTGTTTGCCATTCACAAATTATCAAACAATACATTGTTTATTCCAGTAAGCTACAGCAGTCTTTCTGCACATACAAATAAACAACATGCTTTTGCTTCGTAGGTTCGCTTCGCGTAGCCTTGCTTAGATTGTTTATATCAGGCTACGATGTATCTAGTTTAGGCAATGTAGTTTTTATAGCGTTTAAAGTTAAGCTATTGTTGTTATTATTATTATTATTATTATTATTATTATTATTATTATTATTATTATTATTATTATTATTATTATTATAAAGTTAAACTACCTGTATCTACCACATTACTAGTGGTATCTACCAAAAATGGACTGTTTTTTTCAAAGAAGAAAAACTATTGTTGTATTGTATTGTTGATATTATTTTTATAATTATGAACATACTGTAGTACTGGTAAGATTTTGAAGTACAAAGTGTAATTTCCCGGCACTTAGGGGAACATATTCTCAAAATGTTCTCACCTTAGCCCCAACCATGGTGTTGACTCTCATGCACCCTCTACCGTCAAATCCAGTGTGGCAAACCGGAAAAAAAGAATGACAATTTTAGGGGTTTCAATAGCTTATTTAATTGGTTTTGTGGTCTACTAATATGTGAAAAATACATATACATTTTTTATTCTTCCTGATGAATTGTGGTTTTTCTCCCTGAGGGTTGGGAGTCCAGCTGTTTCCGACGATTAGTGCCACCTCTGGTTGAAAGACAGCTATACATTTAAATATTTAAGAACCAGGAAATTAATGGGTAATTTTTTTTTTTTTAGAATTGAAGGCGAAGGATATGTGGATATGAAAGCGATCATCATCAGCGTAGCGCTTCACTCGCTTGTGTTCATATTTGAGGTTCTCGTCTGCGACAATCTTGAGAATATGCATAACGTATGGTTGGTGGTTTTTATGCCGCTGTTTATGACGGCCCCCATCTCTATCGCAGCATGCGTCTGGGGCTTCAAGCACGACAGAGGGCTTGAGGTAAGAAACATTAATCTTATCTACAGTATTACTAACGTTTGAAAAATGTATTCCAAAACTCATCAACTTTGTAATACAATAGTACTGAGCAATCTGTATTGTAAGTGCAGAGAGACCATTATTGCCTATATATTTATGACAGTAATAAAACCAAGTTTATTGCTTCTCCCACAGTCATGTTTATTAAGTATTCAGGCCATAACCTTTTTCTAACAGATACTATCTACATAAACACACCGGTTTTTCCAGGAGATTTTTGTTGATATAAAATGAAAATAGAATTAAACCTATAGTACTCGAAAATAAGTATATTCTAACAGGTATAACATTTATTCAGTATTAGGTTTACTCAGAAATGTTGACATTTTTACAATTATTATGATCCTACTATTTTAGCATAAACTTGGGCATAGAATTTTATTGTTGTCAACCTAATAACATTCCATCATGTTTTTCTCTCTTTCAGTTTGAAACAATGTGTGCAATTAATATTCTCCAGTTTATTTTTATTGCATTGAAGCTTGATGCTTTTATCAATTGGAGTTGGGCGGTAAGTATCCACAAAAGGGAATGTTTTGTACACCCATTTAATTGATGAAAATAAGGGATGGTGGTAATCGTCAGTGGCTTGTGAATGCAATTAGAGACCATCCATTATTTTCAGAATGTTAAGGTTGTGAAGTTCACACTGTTGTGTCAATGCGGCATAAAGCGTCTATAAAGGTGGATACCGCTGCACAAGAAATTTTCAGTATTATTACTAATAATTATGATCCTACTATTTTAGCATAAACTTGGGCATAGAATTTTATTGTTGTCAACCTAATAACATTCCATCATGTTTTTCTCTCTTTCAGTTTGAAACAATGTGTGCAATTAATATTCTCCAGTTTATTTTTATTGCATTGAAGCTTGATGCTTTTATCAATTGGAGTTGGGCGGTAAGTATCCAAAAACTAGATTTTAAGCATTTAGGCAACCACGTTGTCTATTCTCAACCGAAAGGCTGCGATCCTCTTAGAGGGTGGAGGGGAATGTCTGCTGGAAGCCGGCGCAAATTAGTATTGTGCTAAAAATGGGAATAACATGGTCACGGTATACAATACAAGTACGATACAATAAGGTATTCAAGTAACAGGCCTTGAAATGATTCCAATTACCAAAGCATTGTAATAATAACATTTATTGATAATCATCTAACCAATCATTTGAACTTAATTAAACTAAACTAAAACCAAATATTTGATAATAATTTTTTTTGGTACATTTGCATTTATTTTGGTTTTTTCTTCTCTGTTGTTGTTAAGCGCCTCAAGGTTGTGTCAACGTGAGGCGCTATATAAATCCAGAATTATTATTATTATTATTATTATTAATACAAAAATGAGTGGAACAAAAATATATGGAAATAGAAATAAAATGCACAAAGAAATTTAAAAAAAATTAAATGGTGTAAATACCCAGTGTCATGTGGCATTAAATCCACCAATCAAATGTCAGGGATCCACTGTATTAAGGTGTGTTATAATATCTTATAAATCTCGCTGTTATATATATGCACCTGTGTTCACATTATTGTTATTGTCTTTGCAGATTGTCTTTATTCCTATTTGGATTATAATGGGACTACTCTGTATGGTAGACATCATTTGGTCAATCCTTATCTTCCGAGCAACGGAGACAATGCCAGAGCAGAGGCGGGCGCACGTAATGACAGCGTTTGCCCGAGCCGTTCTAGTTGTACCTCTGTTAACTTTTGAAGTACGTTTTAATTTTTTTATAACATGAAGTTAGAATCAGATATTCCTGTATTTATTCATACCACATTGAAGGGTCTCCTGGATTCCTAAGCCATGCGCCCATTGCGTTCGACGGTTGTTGGCGGACACTATTCTATGGAGAATGCGAGGCCACATTGTGCACACAACAGATCTTTTTAATGATGATCTGTGTATATACTGCAACCGACAATCAGCAGATGATGTCGTGTCATCAACTGCTCAAAACGAGTGCAGTTGGTTTCGCCATATGACCATTGTACGACGCAGTCAGTGCCAGGCTTTGGCCAAATGACCAAATTAGACACTGATCCACTGTGACTAAATATACCCAGGCCAACAACAGAGTGAATTAATTTTTACCTTCATACGGCCTGTTTCTGCTGAGCAAAAAAACATGTGTTTTTGAACAGTTATTAAAAAACATGTTTTTTCACAAGTAGAAACAGGCCACAAAACAAAAACACGGTTAGGAATGCGTTCTAAAAATGCGTGTTTTTACACATATTCGTTATAGGGTTTCGCGTTCAGGAAACACGTGTTTTGTGGAAAACTTTTCAGCTGCAATGCAATACCGTGTTAGTCATGACCCATCGGTGAGCTAGATTGACCTCTTCATTGGTTTGATTGCTCGTCCGGGGGAAATTCGGGGCGAAGAAAAAAATTAAACCAATAGGATGACATTCTTGAAGATTATACCATACTTTTTTCATACTTTCGTGGTGTGTCGTTTACTTCTTTCGCAGCATGCGCTGTAGCTCGCAAGAAGTAAGGTCAGCCTCAACTTCCGTTGGTGACCGTCATTTAAGCTCCGCCCACCTGCCAATGCTCGCATTACCGTGTTTTTTAGTTGCACTTTTCACTAGAAACGTGTTCAGAAGGAATTTCACCGTTTATAAAATTCACAGGTTTTTATGGAGTTATTCAGCAGAAACACACCCATATTTAATAATTTGCTCTTTTTCCCTACAGATTCTTTTAGTGAATAGATTAGAGGGAATAAACGATTACCCACTTCCAGCTATATTCTGCCCTCTATATTTATCTTTACTGGTTTTACTACCAACCTCATTTGGACAGCGAGGGAATAATCAATGTAAGTATTAACTAGAAAGCGCAAGGGTCCCAAGTTTTCGGGAGATTTGAAACCCCTGAAGCGTTTTTTGCTGTCTTACTTAACGGCACCACATGAGACCACATGGATAAAAAAAGCTTTCAAAAAATTACAAGAGTGGATTCGTAATTTAAAATCTATAAAATTCATTTTGATAGCAGTAACTGTTTGATTTCTGGTTGAAATTGAAGAATATTGTATCAGTTTTGGCAGGTTTCAGAAGCCATATTGACGATGTTGCGTATCTGCAACATACAGTATTGATGTCTGCTAGGAATGCAGTCAACCATGACTTTCCCCACCTTGAGAGATTCTGTAGAAATATAACAGTACATTTATGATAATAGTTTTGTTTTCCCCTTGTCTCCTCTCTCTCAATGAAGACCTACAGTAATGTTATTGGTGCCTAAGCAATTGGAACCATTGCAATGGTCATAAAATTTGTCAAAAGTTTGTAAACAAGCAAACTTAAATTTCCAAACATTTTTTGGTTATGAATTTTTGGCATACATTTAGTATTGGATATGTAATTGTGCCTTATTACTTGAAAACATAAATATTAAAGCACTACATGAGAACTTTATTATCCCCCTCACCCCCTTCACCCAAGAATCGGAATAATCTAGCATTAATGGTACAGTGGATTATTAAATGTCTATTTTGATAGAAAAAAAAAACAGCTGCAATTGTCTGACCTCTCCAATTGATAATTATATTCTAGTTATAGTAATGTACTGAGCAGTGAATCAAAGGTCACAGTACTTTATAGTAATCTATGGCACAGATATTTGATATCAACATGCTACTTCATGAAACATGGCAAAATCTGTAACAGTATTCGTCAATTTTAACCAGAATTCAGACAATTATCGATGTAATTTATATTGATAATACCGTAGGATCGAAATAAGCCCACTCATGTTCATGCCCAAGAAAGTAAAACCAGTGGTTTTATATTAAACCATGTCTCACTTTCATAGTAATTTGTTTGTGCCAAAATTCTTGGAAAGTACAGTAAATTCTATTTGAAGTGTGCGAAGATATTGTATTAAACTGAAAACAAGAATATTGCATAACAGCTAGTTAACTTTTGATTGTTCTGGTATGACACTCATTTCTAGGCTTGCTTCATTTTCACTATGATGGGCTGGTGAGAGCAGCTTAGCTGAGTAGCTAGACTGGCGGCAGCCACAGTGTGTGCGCTGAACCGTGGAAGTAATTTCAGCTAGGTCTGTGGTCACCGGTTCAATTCCATCCACTGCTCTCCTTCGTGTGTTTCAGCTGACGGCTGAAGTGCTAGTTACAGAAGCGTACTGTCTTTAGGACGAGGCCTCTATAAAGCAGTTTGTCCGATATTGCAATACAACCCATAATAATAATAATATAGAGAATTATACCGCACCTTTTGCCAAGGCATACAAGGCGTTGGCGATGTTGTTATTATTACCCTGGTTATCGGATCCATAATCAAACCAGTACGAAGTACAACCTCCTGGGGAGTATTCCTAGTCGTGCTTGCAATTTAATGCCGACACAGACTAATACTTGCAACGCCACATCATCCTATCAGGTACCCATTTATACTCTTGGGTGGAGAGAGGCAAACGTAAGTGAAGTGCTTTGCTGAAGAAGACAAGCAATACGACGAGTGTCGGTCTCCAACTTCCAATCTAACGATCAGAACTCCCAACATATTACATGCTGCGCACATTAAAGAAGGCAATACACTCTTCAGAAAAAAGTAGATTGTCTCCAAGTGTACCGCCCAATTCACCACTAGAAGGACCCCATTGAAAACAAGCCATCAGATTTAACAGTTGAACTTTCTTCTCCACTTTTTGTATTATTTGCACATGTGCAGAAATAACGATATAATTGATATATTGAATACAATCTGTTTATTCTATATAACTCAAAGTAAACTGTTTACATTGCAAAAAAAAAAATGTTTTGACTTGCATATTATTATTAATTATAAATGTTTTAATATTTTTTATTCCATAATGCACTTTTTTTTTTAATTCACAGGGTGGTTTGGAATTCGCATGGATTTCTGCTCGTTTTTACTGGAAGTGTGTCCATGTCTGCAAGAATACGGCAATATAACATATACCCTCCATCCCGTGGATGTTCCACCTGAGACGGAGCAGATACCGGTTCGCTCCATCCCAAATCCGAATCCCATGGTTATAAACACGACCTCTGGGAAATTGGTCGCTCCCGTGACAACCATTGATATGCCTGATTAACGATTTCTTAGTGTGGAATTTTGTAATAATGCAATATGTCTTTGTGTATAAACGAGGGCTGAAATGAGTTGATCATTTGGATCGACAAGATTGTGATGTTTTGTTTCAAGATAACCCTGCTGAAAAACACTCATAGGTTCGTCCTAGGACTCAAGCGATGGGTTGTAGAGGAAACAACATGTTATGATTGTACCTGAAGCCTGTCCTCAGGGAAGTTCCATTAGTAGTTCCCAGCTTGTCAAGGCCCATATAGGCTGCTAACAATTTTATTTCATTTTATTCAATTTATCAGTCATACAATACTAAAGTCTGAGCCCAGAAAACTAAAGAAACAGTAACTAGAGAAATAAAAAAAAAGAAGTTTTTATTTATAAAACTGAAAATTAGTAATGTTTTAAATGTACTTGTGGAAAGTTATGTTATGTATTATAGTTGCAAATTTAAATATGTATCTCTGGCTAGCCCCATCTCTAGCCAGGGTGTGCTGGTTAAATACGTATTTTACGATTGGCCAATCCAATTGTTTTAGTTGACTGAGTGTGAGTAACTGTTAGCTCATAGCAGACGAGAGGTCACTTGCTGAGTGAGTGGTTCACGTGCGCTAGCGTGTAGAGGTCACTTGCTGAGTGAGTGGTTCCAGTGCGCTAGCGTGTAGAGGTCACTTGCTGAATGAGTGGTTCACGTGCGCTAGCGTGTAGAGGTCACTTGCTGAGTGGTTCATGTGCGCTAGCGTGTAGAGGTCACTTGCTGAGTAAGTGGTTCATGTGCGCTAGCGTGTAGAGGTCACTTGCTGAGTAAGCAGTTCATGTGCGCTAGCGTGTAGAGGTCACTTGCTAAGTGAGTGGTTCACGTGCGCTAGTGTGTAGGGGTTCTACAAAGCATCAAAACATGCATTTCATAGCGACTTCCAAAATGGTAAACTTAATGTTCAACTTCCTCTATTTGTGTTTTCATTTTCACTCCTATAAACCCACCTCATTTTTCCCCTTTTTAAACCACAAGTTAAACCACAAAGTTGTTTCACAATTATGTAAGGCATCAAATTGTCAACAATTTCCTTATTATTCAACCTATCTAGCGGGTTTCTTTTTAGTAGCTGTTGAGTGTACCTACTGATTGAAATACAGTAATTAAAAATTACTATGCTATTTGATGACAGGAAGTCATAAAAATGCTGGGTTTGGTATAACATATTTTTATTTTTCCACTGCACGTCCAATAACGGTATTGATGCAGACCAAGCCAGGAAGTGGTTTAATAAGTGGCACTTCCAAGACTGTATGGACCATTCCGGGGTGTTGAGATATTGTCCCTTGCTAAATATAAAAAAAAGTCATAAAAATATTTTTTGAAATTAACTTGCCCATTTTGAAGTAACATAAAAGTATCAACTTGAACATAGACAATAGTGTATTTAAAATATGTCTACCCATCAGTTTACAGTGAAAAATGATAGAAACACTTCCAGTCACTACTTTTATTATAATTTTTTGGTTTAAATCAGGGTATACATTTTTTAAATTCAATAATTTTTTTGCTCAAGTTAATAATTTGTATGCCATTCCAATATGAGCAAGTGTATTTCAAAATTATTTTTTGATTTTTTGACATTAGCAAGGGACAATACATCTTAAAAAACTAACCAATCAGAAATGAGCTACAAACACACATGTCCCACAAACGCACATATGTGAATATGATTTTACGCTGTTGTTTTCTGATACCTTTAGTAACAATATGTAGGGGTGGAGCGTAGAAGAATGGTCCGTTGGGAAAGTGTTGTATAAAGATCTAAGAATATTCAATGGTTCATTTTCCAATTCCCTCACCTTTTGTTGGTTAGCTAGAAATCCATGGCCATCATCTGTTTTTACAGACCACCCAATAATTTCAAACTATAGAGGGATCACTGCTACAGGATATTACAATCAGTGCAACTGAACTATGACTGCCTATGTAAATTTACTGTACTCGATTCAATATTGACCAGGGTTATGGCCCCTGTATTGCCTCTGTTGATTTTGTTTTACTGTTGTTCTATAGCATGGGGATGTATTAATAAATCCATGGTGTGTATTTTAATGTTATGTTAGTTTTAAAAACCGTGATATTGAATATTAGAAAGGAGGGAGAATGATATTGTTCATGTGTTCTATGTTGTATTTATTTCTACAAAATGAGACCTTTAATACATACAGATTAAAGAAATATTGTGTTTGTGTTTAGTTCTTAAAAGAAAAATAATTTAAAAGCATTTTGATACAGTAGAGACCTACATGCAAATTTAAGCATTATAGACATATACAATGAATATACACATACATAGAAACATGCATATACCTCATAATAATAAAAATGACAATGACAGAATATTTATTTCCTTTGAGCATGAAAATATGAATGTATATAAATTCGTTTTTGAAGATCAAAGAAAATGGGATATTTCTGAAACATAGCTTGTAAATGGAAAACCCAAATTACAAATATTTCTTATAATCAGCTCAAGAATAATAATTCATAGGCCTATTTTACTAAAGAAAATAAAAATTCAATGGAAAATTTTTATTATGAGCATTCTATTTCTTTTCTAGTTTAAAAATGTCTTTATATTATAAAATAAAAGTTGCCATGCACTTGGTGATATTGTGATAGTGTGAAAATATAATTGATGCAGTGATGGTGCGAGAAATTTGCCGACAAGGGGTCCAAGCGAAGCTTTGGTCGACGGCCTGGAATAAAAACTCCCTCATAGGGTTCACAGGCTTAGTATGGTCCAAAATGTGCTTTTTAGACCAATTATTAGGGGCCGGCAGTCAAAATAACGTTATTTGGATAGGCAAATTTTTAAAATTTTTTATCCGACAGTGAAAAAACTCCATGGAGTTCATCCGCCTATACTGGTAGCCTTAATATATATTGCTTTGCAGTGTTGTGTGCAGATAAATTGGTTTTAATGGGCATATGGCAGATTGCAAAGTTGCAGATTAGTGGTGGCACCAGATAGGGATTGAACAATATAGAGAAATCCTGAATGGACACAAACTGCTCATTTTGAAAATTATCAACTTGAAAATAGATATTAATGTACAATATTTAAAAAAAAAAAGTGTAACCATAAGTTTACAGCGAAAAATGATAAACATTTTCAGTCACTGGAAGTGTTATTATTTTTCTAATTAGCCACTGGTATTAAAATCAGGGTACACAAATAATTCAATAATTTCTCTGCTCAAGTTAATAATATGCATGTTACTGCAAAATAGGCAAGTTCACTTTAAAATTATTTTTTAATGACTGTCATTTTCAGGTAACAAAACATATTTAATGACAAGTAGCATAAAATAAGGTTGCATTCTAGCCACTGTTTTTTTTTTCAGTATTTATTATATAAATATATACACACAAGATAAAAATTACATCAAAATTTCTGCACATTTTTTCCTACTTGATAAAATGTAAAATAATGTAATAAAATGATCGAAAAATATACACACTTTGCTATATTTAATTTAATATCTTAGTACAGTATTATGGAGCATGTAGATGCTTTTCACATTCTACAACTGTTCCATATATTTAATGGCCGTGGGAATCCTGTTGTGTTTAGACAAAATACTACTGAGTTAGATTACATATTGCCATTGGGTTATGGGTTACTGACTCGATGGAACCCTGCAATGCTATTAAAACAATCACAACAAACAAGCTTGCAGTCTAATTTGAACTAAAAATATTTTTTTTAGTCAAAAGTGATGATCCATGTTACAAAGTGCTTCACATTTGATATATATGTATATATATGTATATATATATATGTATGTGTACATATATAAATTTTCTCCCATCGGAAATTACAAGACATGGATAGATAAAAGCGTTACCCGTTAATGTTCTGATTTTAGATGCTGGCACCGAACTTTCCTGAAGTAAAGGCAAAATCCTGTAATTAGCAATTTATACTTTTCGGAGACGAGTTCTGTATTGTTTTGTTTGAATTTGATGATTGTATGCGCTCTGGGGTCGGCTTGCTGGCGTAGAGCGCTTTATAAGTGTCACTTATTATTATTAAAAGAAACAATGCAATGCAATCGAAAACTTGCAGTTTATATTTTAAGCGGAACAACCTTGTGTCACAAATGCTTGCAGAGTAAATAGTATAAACATTAGTTGTCTTGGTTAACTTGAAACAATTTAACAATAAAAAAAATGCAGTTTTAATAAAAAATATAAATCTTGCCTCAAAAAAAACAGTCTTACTTATATTTTTGTTAATCTTACTGTATACTTAAATGACCTACAGTATTCAACTTTGGTTTCATTCACACAGGTTAGCGCTACAATTTATCCATTCATCAACCATGTAAATTGAATGCATATCATATAGCTACACCTGGCATCTGTGCCCTGGGTACTTAAAATCTGTTATCCTCTAAAGCGCTGTCCACACTTTCATGTGACAAATATGTCATGTCACACATGAGGTGACATCACAATTACTCGACAGTTAACAAGTTCTCTAGTTGTTTGACTGGTTGTTTTTTTGTGATTAACTTTGATTTTGGGCACTTTGTATCCTCTGAAAATGCACGATACCAAACGATAATAATAGTTAAATGCGATGTCTAAATATCCTAAGAAAATATAACCGGTAAATGGCTTAATTTAAACCAGCAAACCTGATAAAATAATAATCAAGTTCAGGCCAGTGTGCCACTACTCTGCACTTTAAGCCCAGCCCAACAAACCACCTTTGCAATTACAGGGACTACCGATGTTACTAAGGCTGGCTACAGTGTAGGCTCTCGTGATCTCTGAGCTGCCGCAAGAGTTTCTTGCTTCTTCCTCTAATCGTCCTCATCAGGAAAGACAACTTTATTCAATTGGTAACTTTAGTAAAAGTAAAACTGCTTGCTTAGTTAAGCCACATCCATCTCTTTGTTACCTGATGATGCAGCAACTTCCCCCTCAAGGAAATCATCCTGGAAAAAATAAAGTTAATTATCTCAATTATAATGTAAACAAGTTCTTGTAATCTTGAGAGCTTCGATGAGGGCTGTATAATAGAGGCAGTAGAGCTTAAAAATGATCTATTAATCAATCAGCCTCATGAGGGCAGTATAATAGAGGGAGCTTAAAAATGATCTATTAATCAATCAACTATATCAATCAGCCTCATGAGGGCAGTATAATAGAGGCAGTAGATCTAAAAAGATCTACTAATCAATCAGCCGAGTGTTTCTTGAGGACCTCATCGGAGCTAAAAAAATTCGATGAAATTTTGGGATGGGCTCCTCGGAGACTTAACAGCAAATGCAGCGCACTGCTGATAAATTGGCTTGTCCACCAAGTGACAGCCACTATTTTATGTTCTTTTAGGGGTTCCCAAATTGGAAGAAGCCATTTCCGGGAGATCTGTAATAATAATACCCATTGGTTGGGAGACAATGGATAATATAATAGTAAAACATGAAAATATCGTAAATTTGCGAAAGATGGGTTATTTTCCAGGGGATTCTTATTTGCTTGCGGAAGTGCGGGAGACCTTTCTCGATTTCCAAACGAATCCTGTGACTGGTGGTGGAAGACTTGGGAGAGAATTGGGGACTCCTGGTTCTTTAATATACACAGCATGGCTTAAAATGTTTCAAATGATGTTGCACTAAATTGTAAATGAAAGGGTTTGTTCGTTCTGTAAAACAGTCCGAGATTAATTTTCTTTTTTGCGCCTGAAAGGATTTTTTTTAACTTGTTGGTTATTTTGTTTTCTTTTCGATTTCAGCTTTTGTATAGCACTTAGGTTTCACAACATTTTAAGTGCTTAAAAGCACTTTATAAAACTAATCTATTAAATTATTATTATTATTTATTAAGAGCATTTTGTTTAGGATATAACCATGGATTTTATGTACTGCAATCCTTGATCTATTGCACTCAAGTAAAACTGATGCCAAAATCTTTTAGTTTATGTCCCTCACTTGGCCTTGAACATTGCCATCTGACCCCTATCATTTTCTAGTACCACAAATAGACAACAGTTTAGGACAGCGCAGGCTAAAATCACCATAAATCATACATTACTATACAGCTGGTGTGTTGTATGACAATAAACAATTATTCTTTAATTACACTCATCACTTATGCAGACTACTGTTATTTGCCAAGTGCAGTCCTAAAAATCTTTGTAACTTTATGGTATGTACAATAATTAATTTCTTATATTTTAATCTCATACAAAACTGTCATGGTTGGATTTTCTTTTTTAAGTTTCTTTGAAATTTCTAATTAATATTTAGTGAAACATGAATTCTTGATTATGTTAGTTGTTATTGTCTGACGACTAATTGGTAGTTTCTAGGTCACATCTGACAATGCAATGGTGGATACCATAAATGCTTGAATAAGCGCCGCTGTCGTTTAAGCACAGCACCAAACCAGATTTTTTTTTCACTAAGTGCTGCACTGAAGACTCCAAAAATTGTATAAGCAGCGCGGCGCTTATTCAAGCATTTACGTTATGCTGTTTTGTGGAGTTTTTTTTAATGTAGCAAACTCTAGGTTTTGTGTCTTTGCCCTGCACAGCAGTTAAAGATGGCTGAAAGGGGGTAAATCTGGTGGAGGTTCATGATGGGTCATGTGTGTACCTTATTACTGTACAAAAGTCATAATAAAAACACCACACATAACCGAATCCCATTCGGATACATAATACAGTAAGGCAAAATAGGGCATAGATCCCGGGGGCTCACTCTTAAATATTTAGGTGCCGCATTTACGGGGGTATTTTTGAGGACTTGGTAGCACAAGTGTGGGAATTTATGGGAGAGTTTCAGCATGTATAGGGTATATTTTCGAGGACTTGGTAGCACAAGTGTAGGAAATACCATGTAAATTTGGTAGTTAAAGTCCCTGCCCTGTCCCATATTAAAGTCACATAATTTTTCACAAGATGTTAGCAAAGATTTTTTGCTAACATCTGTGCTAAACCTACCGTTGAGACATAGCCACAAACAGTAGGGATAGTGAACAGACAGAACCGCGGTCTTATTCGCCATCGGGAACCAGTACAAGTTTAATTTTGTAGGTTACATGGCCGTAATAGTAGTACAACCAACACCGGATTTTGGTAAATGGTAGTTCAAGTTCCTAATAATTTTCAGTAAAATAGGTAGCGCAAGTGTCTCCCCGGGGCATAGACCCACGCTACCGCTGGGAGCCTATTTTTGTAATATGTACAAGCAAGTAACATTTTTTTTGTTCCCCTCCCACCCAGCGGGGCCAGGGTACTGTAGCAGGCACCCCTAACATATTGGGCAGAAAACATTGTCCTCTGTTATCTATTTATTTAAATATTTTATTTATTTAGGCACACACAATAGCGAATATATCACTGACCCACTTGTAGGTGACAATTCCTTTTACAAGACAAACACACGATGCTTTACACATACTAAATCTCAAGGTTTTCAGGGAGTGAAGTTGTTTTTGGTTATGACAAAATAATCCTGCAGCACTGAGAGGAATTGAACCCAGGACCCTGGGATTGGAAGGCAAGCATCTTAACCACTACACTATTCAACACAACTCCACTGATTATAAATAAGTTTGAATCTATAGAGCCAAAGGGGTAACATTACCCATAATTCTTTAAGACCAATTATGGACAGTAATAACTGCCAGTGTTTACCTCCAGTTTTCAACAAGCATTATAAAAGGCCAAAGTTCTTTGAACTGTTTATAAGAAACAGACCCCATGATGCTAAAACAATATGAAAACATAATAAATAAGTGTTTCTACTTATAGGAGCGGGTTAATGCAACGTTTACAATAATACGGTACATTGCTTGTCAATGGTGCAAATCCGCCTGCTTTTGAACTGTCCTTTGTTGCCAGGGAATTTGCTCGATTAGACCAATACACTTAACACTCTGTTACAAATATACTGGAATTGTATATTGTTATATGAACAAAGATTATAAAAACAAACAGGTTGAAATTTATCTACTGATTATCTAAGATGAGTTAGATGAGCTGAAATCCCTGTCATGCTCCTCAACTCACTATTGGTGTGAAGTGTTCACCAAACAGCAAGCTTTTTTTGGGGCTGCTAATTACATTAAGAACAGGAAAGGTAGGAAGGCATAAAGACTTAAATTTTAGCTTTTAGCAAACCTAATTTTAAAAATGTATGTACTTCAATATGTTAAATTTTATTTCAATGTGCATTTTAGTCTTCTGCTACTCTATTTATGTATTTATCTTTTATACTGTAATAAATAAATGTTATTGCCGTAGGAACTGTAAAAGTGTTTTGTTTGTCAACACATTATTTAAATTCATTCAGTATTATTATTGATTAAACAATTTTTGCACTTGAAGTAAAATTTAGTATGATCATTGTTAGCAAACCCAAACTTAATAAACTTTATTATTTCACAACAAATTTCAAATTTCATTATTTTAACATTAAAATTTATTCTTAACTATCTACTGCTATAATCATTTTTAACTGTTCAATACTTTCCTTTCTGTTTATGGAGTGTTTTTTTTTTTAATTTATAATAAAGTCACTATTTTTTATTGACAAAATATTTTGCATTGTAATAAAATTTAGGATGTTTACTTTGAACAGGCAATATACTGTACAGTCGTGCTAAAAAAAAATTGTAAAATTAAATACCAAGCACAGCAAACCATAACTTTTTATAAACAAATTTTACTCTTTCATTTCTGTTGAAACTGTCTACATAGACTTCTTACTTCAGCTCCCAGGTACCCTTCCACTGGTTGAAAATTATAAAATTCAAATATTAGTGTAAAGGAAATACTTACAATATCATAGATAACTTTGATGACAAGAGAACAGCTTGGACAAGTCGCTACATCTTCCCCATTCATCAAGTCCTCCTACATGGCAAAATCCAATAATAAATAAACTCTTTAAATTAAACCATTGCTGCTGTTACAGTAATTGGTTAATATGTGCTTAACAACATCTATGTTGTTACTTCAACAATAAGGCAAAACCTTTTTATACCTTGTTTAGTGAATCCGCCACCTGCCAATAATGATGATTTCAAATAAAAATAAAATTTATTTTTAGAAAATTAGCACACCTGTCGCCACAAAAAATTGACATTTCAGGAAAAAAAAATGTTATGTGTTATGCCTGTCGCTGCCTTGAAATTGCCAAAAATAAGATATGTAAGCCTATATATTTCTTCCTAATTATATAATTACTACACTGTTTACATTCACCAAAAAGATTTTATTTCAATATTTTTTCAACTCTCCTCTGACGATCTTTGAAAATAAGTTTACGAAACAAGGTATAAAAATGGTCTCGTCTGAAATACAGTATCTAAATTTACTGTAGTACCTATGCCTGCTGTAAATACCAGCTTCAGTTCTGGAAATTGGGGCAGTCATTCAGCATAGGCCTAGACTAGTAGTAGTAGTATATTAACTTGAAAATATACAGAAATTAAAATAATAATACTGCTGTACTGTACTGTATGCCAACACTGTTCCTTCACATATTCTTTGGACAGGGTGTTCAGGAGGCGTCCCAATTTCCCGAAGACTCCCACTTAAGCCGGACGTCGTACAACGGTCGTAGGACAGTCGCACGATGAATCCACATTTGCATTCAGCGAGCGATAGACAATGCAACGCCGTCTGCTGATTGTCAGTGGATCCATTGGGTCCGCGTCTTCGCATGCATTCTTTGTCGCGTTGCCGTTGCGTCGTACGCAGGGAGTAACCAGCTTAAGACTTGAGTATGAAGTCTGTTAGCGCCACCAGTGAATTAAAATTTAAGAGCTGTTAATTATCTGGCGGCCTCTACAGGCTTCTGTACCAAAGTCTTAGTGGGAGTCTCTGGGAATTTGGGATGCCTCCTGAACACCCACAACCAAGCAAGAAGAAAACTCAGAAACTCATCTTCAGCAAATTTTCATATTTTATTTAGCAAGTTTATGTAACCTAGGCTTATGTCATAGAGGGCGATGGCCTAGGCCTGCTGCTGTATTTTATTTTTACTTTGGTTTAGCCTCGGCTAAGCTTCCCTCCTATCCTAATTTAAGCTACTTGTTGGATAGTAGCTGAAAGTCGCCTAAGCTAAGCCGCCAAGGCCTACTGTTAATCTCCGTACGCAGTTCACCGACTGCGTAACACCGGTCAAAAAATAGGGAGACGTGGCTCGAACTGAGAGACAAGCCTAGGCCTAGCATAATATGTACGTAATACCAGTATTTACCTGTGATATCTCAAATCTATCACCACAAGGACATGGAAAATGATATATTTCAGTTTCTTCGTCATATTCGAAGTCTTCTATTTCAATTTCGTCGTGAAAAACAGTCATTTTACAGAGTTCTTCTCCCCTCCTGCGATGCTGTTTGGGTTGCGCAACACATGGCATGTGACGTCAGAGATAAGTTCAAAGTTGATGTAGAGTGGGTCCTGAATATTCATTAGAATAATTATTATTGATGTATAATTTATTATTTCTTGCTGATATTATTTCGGCTTTAAAAGTGGAATTTGGAGTTTTAGCCATTTTAATTTAGGCCTAGGCCTATTATGATTTTGACTAGACTAACTTGTTAAATATGCTTGGCTGCTGCCGCCGGGACGGGGAAAATTGAGCGCCCCTCTTTCGCCACCAGTGGCGCATCTAGAAGTCTTGAAATGGGGTGAGCGAAGGTGAAGTGGTGGCGGGTATCAATAGGTAGTTTTCGCCGCACGACGTTTAACCTTTAACGTTAACGGATGACGTCATAATTTATTCATCTTGCGTTGCATGCGAAGTACGGTGATTTCAGGATTTTAGGTGCTCGACGTACGTTAGTTACGGGTTTGCACATGCGTTTTCAATTTGTTTACAAAAGGGGCGTAGCTATCGCGTTGACGTCGTGCAGCGAAAACTACCGGTACCTAATATTATTTTATTGCACTAACACGATTAAAATTAAAAAATAAAATAAAATAAAATAGGCCTAGACAGAATTTCAAATTCCATGTTGAAAAAATTCTTATAGTAGAAATTCCAAAATATCGCCCCCCCCCCCCACCACTTACAGAGTTTGCAAAAGTTATCTGGAAAAGAGGTCATCTCAAAAAGAGGCCCATCTCGAAAAGAACCCAGAGGTTTTACGGTATGAAAACAAATAGGCCTACTGTCTGTACAAAGTTTACAATGCAAACGAAAGGCGCCGACCACGTCTGTTAATGGTGCGATAATCTATTACGAGGCTATTGTTAGCGTTATATTTATGATTACAATTATTTACAAAGAAAATTATATCACATACTAATAATATTACATTAAAGGCAGAATTGGCTATAACCCGCTCTTAACTGTGACGCATGATGTCCCTCAAAAGTAGGTCTACCTCTTTCAGTTGCACTGAACATACCGTAAATATAAACTTAGGCCTAAAGTTCAAAGCAAGTGATAATGACATTTGTTCGGATACGCCGCTTATCAGATCCCGATCAAAAGTATACATTCCTGGCCCACTACGGTGTATTATTAAATGAGTATAAGCTAGCCTTCTTAGTTTACAAAAAATCATTTAATGTGGTGGCGTTATTAGAATGACATGTAAGGGCAATACTTCGTGTTAAAATCACATCTCATTGAAAAAGGTAAGCTGATTAATTTATCGATAGTCCATTCATTTTATTTATTCAACACTTCGTTTTGAAATTACTTCATAATGTATGGCCAGTTTAATTGACTTTTTGGAAGTGCCTGGTCACCTTTTCTCGCAGGTTGTTCAGTACTTTTTTTACGATTTCAGTCCAGTCCGGTGGCGGCGCCATCGTCTGAAATCTGGGTGGGGGAGGGAAT